CTTGTGAAGTTAGAGGTGGTCAGAAGATGTCACCTCTATGTCCTTTTTGCAGTGACTTATTAACAACCTGTGATATGCAGATGACACAACCTTGTTTGCCAAGAGTGAAGATGACTTGAAGTACTCACTGATGAAAATCAAAGACTATAGCCTTCAGTGTGGATTACACCTCAACATAAAGAAAACAAAAATCCTTATTACTGGACCAATATGCAACATGCAACATTATGATAAACGGAGAAAAGACTGAAGTTGTCAAAGATTTAATTTTACTTGAATCCATAATGCCTATGGAAGCATATATATATATATATATATACAGCACACTGGGCAAATCAGCTACAAAAGACCTCTTTAAAGTATCAAAAAGCAAAGATTAACTTTGAGGACTAAGCCATGATTTATATTTTCAATAACCTCATATACATGTGAAAGCCAGACAATAAATAAGGAATGCTGAAGAACTGATACTGTTGAATTATGGTGTTGACAAAGAATAGTGAATATACCACGGACTACCAGAAGAATGAACAAATATGCCTTGGAGAAGTGCAGCCAAAATACTCCTTAAAAGCATGGATGGAGAGACTTTGTCTCAGGTACTTTGGACACGTTATTAGGAGGGACTTTGGAGAAGGACATCATGATTGGTAGAATGCAGTGACAAAGAGGAAGACCCTCAATGAGATGGACTGACACAGTGGCTGTAACAATGGATTCAAGTATAGCAATGATTGTGTTTTCTTATCTAGTCTGCAACTCTCCGTCTCTTGAGTGGTGCATTTAATGCACTTACCATTTGGCATAATTATCAACAAGTATGAATTTGGTGCTGTTATTTTGTTATGTGGTTTTTCATGGTGTTCCTGGTTTCTTTGTTCCGTATAATTTTTTGTGCTGAGCTTATTTTCTTTATGAATCAGATAGCAACAATTGTGAAGATGGTGCAGGACTGGCCACCACTTTGTTCTATTGTACCTAGGCTCATTACGAGTCAGAACTGACTCAATGGTACCTAACAACAACAACAACAAAAATTGGTTTGTGGCTATAGTCACAGCTTCTAGATGGCTAACAGTTGAAGCTCACACACTTTACTTCAGAGAATGCTGGATACTTTCGCAGGGAGGGAGCCATCCTGCCTCTCACTCAGTGGAGAGTGTACAGTGTACATACAGTTGGGGTGCTGATTGTAGCAGTCCTTTGTGATGCCTTAGATCTAGAGTCACAATGTTGCAAATCCTTCCAGCATTTCCTCTGTTCTGTCTCCTTGTTCTTTCCTGTTCTCCCACTTAAGAGGCCAGCTTCTTTATTCCATTCAGCATAGCTCCCTCCTTCAAAACTCTCATTTACATCAGAATTTACAGCGAGCCTTAATCTCCTGAACCCTCTCAGGAGAGGAGAAACAGAAACAACAGCTCCTCCTGCTCTCCCCTCTTCCTTAACCCATGTTGTTGTTGTTGTTACTTGCCTTTGAGTTGGCCCGGCTCATAGCGACCCCTCCTTGGGTTTCCGAGGCAGTATCACTAGGAAGTAGGATTGCCCAACCTTCCTTCTGAGGAGTGGCTGGTGGGTTTGAACCGCCAGCCTTGTAAATTATTAACTGGCAAGAATGCAAGTGGTCTGTCTGATCTAAGCACGCAGGGTAAGCTTTGAGCTAGGCACAGAACGGGTCCTTTAAATGCATGCTTATTTGGAAATTCTCCTACTTACTATATTTGGTTTTTTGGTTATGCAATTAGAATGAGACTCTGAAAAGTATCTTATGGGAAAGAACCTTCTAAGGAGAGTCCTTCTCCTTTTTCTAAAAACCAGTTGCCTTGTATTTTAAAAAACAAAACAAAAAACCAGCTGCCATCAAGTTGGCTCTGACATATGGTGACCCCATGTGTATCTAGCCTCTCTCTGTCCACTCCCCACGTCAGTTCTATTATCATGCATTTTCATGCTCAGCAAACATTTTCAGTTGTTCAGTGAGCAAAGCAGAAGCCCTCTTAAATTCTTAGTACCCATAAAAATGGAAGAACCATCTGTAAGGAGGTGGGGAGAACTACCACAGCCACAGATATTAGACAGAGATGAACAGAGACAGCCTCTTTCAAATTCAAGAAACATCTGAGTATTCTATACTTGAAGTACACAGCATGCTAAACTCTGAATGGGTCCCCACCCAAAGTCTCCCACAACTTGGTTTCCATTTGCTTTGAAAGTTCTGTTGCTTGCTCAATTGGAGCCTCTACTCTTTTCTACTGTAAATGCAACCTGCTTGTTTTAAACTCAGTGCCCTTTCTAAGTACTTCATCCTTCACCCAAATCACAATTAAAAAATAAATACTCTGTATTGCTACCTTCTGCCCAGAATGACTCCATCCCTCCTCCCAGCCAAACCAGATGGTTCTCATCTATCAAGCAACAGACCCAAAACCCACATCTGCCACAAAGCTGTCTTTAACCACTCTGGCCCACTCGGGTGCCTTCCTCTTTTGACTCCTTATTCTTAAAACACTCCTTCGAGGTTGTTTGCTGCAGCACAGAAATTGCTGGGACTTTTTCCTTAAGAATACAGTATCAGACTGAGATTTCTAGGCCTATTTGTCCCTTACTCCTAATCATTTGCCCATGGGGCTGTTTCTACTGTCTGAAGAGAATACAGTCTCCATTGTCAGGTCATGGGTCAGAATTTTCAGGAAGCTTTTTTTTTTTAATCTTAAAAGACTGACTTGGATGGATGTCCAAGGATTTTTCTTTTTTTTTTTTTTGAAAGGACATGGTAAAAAAGACAATATAAATAAGAAAATAGATACTAAATAGTAGCTTTTAAAAAAATATTTAAGCCAGTCATTTTTCCCTCTAACACAGAAGTATAAATGAAGTTGTGAATAGAACAGCTTCTTCTATGGATTTATTTGGTAAATGGACAGAGGTACTCAAGGATATGTTAATGTTTTATGTTAGGCATAAAGGTATAATGATAGAACCATCCCTAAAGTGCTGCTATGAGATGCTAAAACTTATTTTTCTGAAAGATAAGGATATCAGAACTGCCACCTTTATAAGAAGCCCCCTCAGTCAAACTTCCTGAGCTGTCTCTAACAATAACACCAACAGAAATATTCAAGGAAGACATAATTATCCTCAGAACAATCTCATATGTTAGAACTGCTCACCTCAAATTGCCCAGTTTCCCTTAATAGCCCATTACATATGTCATTCATGAGTTCATCTAACCTATTTATATTCACACAGCTTAGGGTACAATTCTTTCTCCAAACCTGCAATTCAATTTAAATAATACAATCAAAACTCAGTGGATACAGAAGGAGCAGGTCTGGAGGAAAAGATATGTTTAGATTTCACAGATATAATACAGTTTTAACATTTTATTCAGTTTATAAAGTTTTTGTTGTTGTTATGTGCCGTTGAGTCAGACCCTACTCATAGCGACCCCTCCTTGGGTTTCCGAGGCAGTATCACTATGGAAGTAGATTGTCCCATCTTCCTTCCGAGGAGTGGCTGGTGGGTTTGAACCGCCAGCCTTCTGGTTAGCAGTCAAGTGCCTTAGATCTCCAAATAGCATCCTGTTAAGGGCACTCGTATGCTAGGATAATAAAAGCTGGGTGTCAAAATAAAAAACAAATTTGTAATTTAAATGAAAAAAAGAGCAGCCAACCACTGTCATCCACTTGGAAGGGATGTAGGAGATCCTGCATAGAGAGGGAGAGCAATGCGGAACAAAACTCAAAATCATCCAAAAAAGGTGGTGACCAGGTGTGCTGGTCCAATAGAGCCTGGTAGAACCACTGAGACTATGGCCCCTAGCTGCCCTTCAGGTCTGGAATTGAACCCACACCTGTGGTTTCCAGCCAAACAAAGTACAGGCATGTGAGTTAAACATTTACCTCAGGTAGACACACGCCCTGGAGAGAACAATCATGGGAGAAGGAAGGGCTGCTTATGCATAGGGAGATACCTCAGGGTGCAGAAGAGTATGGAGGGATGGACACTGGGAAGAGGTAAGTATGGGGAGGAAGTGGGAGGGGAGCTGTTGCATTGTAAATTTTGGTCAATGACATGAGACAAAGTATATGTGAACTGCTATATGAAAAGTGAATTTACTCTGTAAATCTTCACCCAAATCAAAATAAAATTAAAAAAAAAAAAAAGAGCAGCCAATACCTAATAACTAGTAGCCCAACATCTGATATAATCTCTAATCCTTAGAAATAGATTAAGATCAGCACTATATTTGACTAAGACAATCACAGCCTGCAATAAGTCTTGATACAACTGCACTCAATCTAGGTCACAGACAATAAAAGAAAGACAAGTTATCAAGACAAATTTTATATCAAGGAGAGATGAAGCTTGATTAAATGAGTTGTAACTTTATTTTCCTTAAAGAGCTGTTCCCAGAAAAGGATATATCCTGATTGCATTATTATTGCAAATAACAACTACTTGTGATTTTCATAAGATGAGGGAAGAACATCAGAATCAAGGAACAACAGAGCTAGAAGGACTCTTTATATCAGACTAATTAAAACTTCAATTTAAAATCTCTTTGCCCACTTGGTGGTATTGTTTCAAGACTATGAAAAAAATGTCCTTATATTTATAATTAATTTTTAATTAATCTTCACTGCTTTCTGGTTTTCAACAAGTCACTCTACATCTTATTTGCTTTCAAGTAGACCATAAATGACTAACTACTAGGGTGAAATAGCTTGGCTGTCCTTTAAAATAGTGTCATGAGAAGGAAAGATTTAGAAAGGTCAATGCCATGAGAATTGAAGAGTGCTACAACTGGCAGCTTTATTCTTTCGAGGCAAGTATGGATTAACAGGTATAAATGCATTTCTGATAATGTTTCTATCACATGAGAAGGACCTCAGCTACTTGTCAGTTCTAATGTACGATACCAGGAAGACAAGAGCTACTATTGATGCAAAGAAAGGACAGAGCTTTCACGGCAGTTGTTCCATCTTGACTAGGATACTTACGGGGCAGTGAGGTAACCCTCCAAAAAGCCAGCTGCAAACATGATGATTTCATTGCTCAGAGCCTGAGAACCATACCCTGCTCTGATCTCCAGGATGCCCCAGCCTGTAGTCTGCATAGAGTCATTGTAAAAGCCATAGGCATCCCCATTCTTGTCCAGTATATCTTTGACTTGTACTGTCTTTGCAGAACTCATCCAGTACACAGTTGCATAGCGGACATCTGGAAGAAAAGGAAAGGGAATAACGATAGAAAACTATTTAACTGAGGCCCTGACACATTTTTCCCATATAAAATTTTCCCCAACAATTGCAGTATTTTTTGTCATAAAGATTTCCACTCTATTAGAATTGGGAAATCTGACTCTATAGTTTTTTCTTGCTAAAAATGGAAAAAAAAAAAAAAAAAAAAAAATCAAGGGGGATAAGCTTACAGAACCAGGCCAAAAGTAAGACCATAGTTATAGCTTCACAGAGGTGGGCTGAAGTGCTTCATCCTTAAAAGGTGGGACCAGGGGCAGGGCCAGAACTGGTGCTCTCCCCACCTCTTAGTCAAACATAGGGTTTGTATGACTAGTCAGCAACTTCTTTCATTTCCCTCACAGCAGGACCAAAGCATCACCATTCTCATAGGCTCCTTACCCACATGTGACATAAGAACACTATCTAACAGAAAAAATAGAAGCTATTATCTGTGAAACCCTCATCTTTTGGATTATTTTATGAATTCATTCACATGAATCAGGTAGTTTTCATCTCTCCTTTCTTGTCTACCTCAGTCCCTTTATGTGTACTATGGGTCCCATTCTTCTCACCTCCTTTAGGAGTTTTCTTGTCTATATTATTATTTCTGTACCTTAACGTGGTTTTTTTTTTTTTTTTTCCCTGTCTTTCTGTAGTGGTTCCTTCCATTTCAGCACATTAATATTCTCCATTGTCTCACAGCTAAAAACAAACCAACCACAAAAGACCTCTCTGGATTCTGCAACCAGAACTACTGCCAGAATCTCTTTCCCTTCATGAATTTATAACAAGTTTCATGGAATGGCTATGCTGTGTCATGAATCCTTGGGTGGTCAAATAGTTAACATGCTTGGCTGTCAACCAAAAGGCTGAAGGTTGAAGTCCAGCTAGAGATACCTTGGAGGAAAAGCCTGGTGATCTACTTCTGAAAAATCAGCCATTGAAAACCGTATGGAGCACAGTTCTACTCTGACACACGTGAGGTTGCCATGGGTCGTAGCTGACTCCACGGCAACTGGTATGCTGCATCAGGGACTAAGCTGGAGGCCAGCAGTAGAGCAGTGAGCATGACTGGCACAGTTCCCAGTCTCCCCTTCTAGAGAGAGCAGTGCACACACATACTTTACTTCCTCTTTTCCTCACTCAGCCTGGTGTCCATCCTCACCATGACACTGGCATTGCTCTTGCCTAGGTCACTAAGGAAATCCTTGAATCTTGAGGTCTTCCAAAAGCATTTGACCTTGGTATCTACTCTTTAATTCCTAAAACCTTTTCCTTCATGGGGCATGGGTCATTCTCCTGAATCTCCTCCTTTGTCTGCCTTTTTCCCCCTCTCCCCTATGGGCTTCTTTTATACCCAAATACACACTTGATAGCACCATCTAGACAATTCCATAAGGACTAAAATTTCAAAATATCAAGAAGCTCATATTCCCTCCCAGCTCATCCTCCATCTTTTGCTTTCTATATCCATGATCTCTCAGTCTAAAACCTGAGTCCATTTTGAATTCCTCTCTCTCTCTTCCTCATAACTCATGTTCAATCAACCAAGACTTCCTAAATATCCCACCACTCTCCACTTCCTCATCTCTATATTTCTATGCTAGCTTACATATTATATAGCTTGCCTAAACTATAGAATCGGCCTTTTTAAAGTTGTATCTGGCCTTTAATCCATTCTTTATACTCTGCTACAGCGATCTTCTTACAAGGCAAAACTTTATGCTAACTTGCCTACTAAAAATCGTCAGTGGTTCTCATTTCTTTTAAATAAATAAAATTCCTTAGCTTACCCTCTTGGCCTTCACATCTGGTTGATACCTGAATGGCAAGGTTCATAGCCACATCTCCTGCACTGTATGATCCAGAAACCATTATATACAACTGTTCAGCTCACTGTGGTCAACATCTCTGACTTTGCATATGCTCTTTCCTTTGCCTGAGATTTTCTCTCTTGTTAACCATTCAGCAACCTCAAAACTGCTATTTAAGACTCAGGAAACAGCACCCTTTTGCAGGGCTTTGCTTTCTCTAAAAGCTCAATGTACCTTTCCTTTAGGCTTTATCACATTGCACTATAACTTACATGTTCATTCCTACCCCTGACTATGACCTCTTTAAAGCCAGGGACTGTTTCCTCAACACTTGATACAGTAAAGAAAGTGAGGTATAGGAAAAGAGACAGAGAAGGGGAGAAAGAGTGGTTTGTTTTTTTTCCTAAGAAACCATTTGACAAATGCTCAGGTTAGAGACAAATTTTTATTAAGCAGGTCATCAGAGAGATATGAGGAGGTTGCAGTGACTCTCAGGTTTAGGTTGAGATTCGGAAGGTGCATGTTGTATAATTCATTAAGATAGGAAGCAGATGGGGAACAGATCTGGGAGGGAATATGAATTTAGTTTTGAACATACTAAATTTTTAGTGATTAGGTGGCTGGAAAGCTCGAGTTAAATATTTATACAGGTAGTCCCCAATTTATGATGGGGTTCTAGTCTGACAACTCCATTGTAAATCAGTTTTGAAATAAGTGGAATGAATAATTATTTTTTTTTAAGATTTCATTATGATTGACACTTATTATCAGAATCTTTATAAATCTGATCTTTATCTGTCTTTGGGGTTTAGCATGATAATGATAATATCAATAAGTTACTCACAATATACTACAAGTTACTGCAATACTATATATAGTACATATTACGATAAAATGTACTTAAAAAAAAAAGATGATCTCCTAAGTGTGGTATCATAACTCGAATATGTTGTACGTTAGGGACTAACTGTATGAGGTTATCTGTTGGCCTTAGAAAGTGCTTGGCTGCTAAGCAAAATGTTGGCAGTTCAAACTCACTCACAAGCCTCTCTGTAGGAGAAAGACTGGTACTCTGCTTTTATAAAGACTGCAGCCTTAGAAACCCTGTGGGCCAGTTCTACTCTGTTCTATAGGGTTGCTATGAGTTGGAATCGATTCAATGGCAATGAGTTTAGTTTTTCTGTTTTTATCTGTTGGCAATATTCAAAATTGACTCAACGTTGTATTTGTTTTTTTGATAACTTATTTAATAGACAATATTTGCAAGTTTAATAATACTGGCTGGCCCAGGAGAGCTGGGTGATAGGCTGGCACTTGGTCAGGATTAGAAGTTAATATAGATTATGACCCTTAAGGAATGATCCAGATTACGTAAGTCTCTAATTTCCTCAATTTACTTCTGAGTAAGTCATGACCATAATGGCAGGCTTCTTTAGAAACGGTTAAGTGGAAATAATGATGTTAATAAGCATAGGCGGGTGCAAAATACTTTGTCAGTAGACTCAGGATATCAAATAACAACCTAATTACTAATGAGGCCAATTGCCCACAATTTGACACTTGTGGGCAGGATCCATAGAAACCTCCCTTCTCCTCCTCCCAAATACAATATACGCTGTCCCAGGGTTAGAGACAAAATCCATTCCTAAGTGTATCCTTACGTTGAATTTGTAGGTAAGCTGGAGGTGCATATGGTTTTCATTTAGCCTTATTTTAGTACAAAAAAAGGCTCAAAGCCTTTTCAATGATTTAAAAGCTTTAAGTGCAGCAAGTGAGCATGATTTTGATGATGAATTTTTTTGCTAATAGGGATTAGTTCAAACATTTCAAAATGAGGACAAATTTACTTAAAGGGTAAGTAGGAGTTGTCTGCACATCAGATGTTCATAATCTGGGAATTTACTGTAAATACAGTGTCAGATTACCCAATAAACAAGATAAGCACCAATTTACTTGTGCTTACTTACTAATCTGTAGTAAACAATTTCAAATTTTTTCATCACATCAGAGATTCTACTTCTAGATATGGCAGGCATCTCTCTCTCTTCCAAACCCACTCACCTTCCTACAGAATCAAAGCGTCTTTCCAAATTTACAGTCTCTGACAGGGATGGTGTCCCAAGTAAGTAAGATAAATATGAGCCAGTAAGCACAAGTAAGTCTGTGCTTACCTTGCTTATTGGGCAATCTGCCCCTGTGTAAATATGTTTTCCAGACAGAGCTGTCCCACAAATGCTATAGCCTAGCCCTTCCCCCACCTTTCTCATATCTTCCCCACCACCCTCACCTCCAGTGAGCCTTGTAGGGAAATGAGGAATCATGGCTGACTAAGTAGCCACAAAGAGCTGTGGTAAGGGGAGAGACCATAAACTGAAACTGTAAATGAGAAAAGGAAGGTGAGCAAGACCTATCAGTCTCTTTCCCTTCAGTTCTATCCACATAGCAGAGTTCAGTTTTGACCTCTCTCCAAAATTTTCTCATCTTGAGCAACCCTAGGCTTTCTTTCCCATTCACATTCCATTAGAGCAGTCCTATTTGCTGTAAATCTTGACTTGCTCCAATCTAAGTACCCTGAAGTGCTGTATTTTCACTGTTTCTGGCACTGCCTAATTTCCTGACCACAAATAATAAACTTCTGCAAATCTGTGCTTTTTTTTAAAGAGTAGTGTACCCCCATGAATGAAGAACACCATCCAACCCTCAGGATAAGTCAATAATAAAATTGTACTGCTAACAACCTGACCAATTTTGCAAGTGCTTTGAGAAATAAGCCAAATTCTGAGTTTTTTGCTCTACCCCCAGCTGATGTCCTCCATTACTCAATGTTGACTCTGTGTATGAACTCTTTCAGGTTGACAGCACCCATGCTATTTTCTGAATTTTTAAATCTTTAATAGTTTAAGTCTGTATTTTTACATTTTTATTTTAGGAAGGGAATAATGTGGGAAAAGCAGTAATAGGAAAGGGTAGAAAAATATTACATAATTCTAATCCTAACCTAGTTTTCCACAAGTTCTCCAAAGGCAGAAGCCACATCTGTTTACCACTTTATATTCTGGGAGCATTGTATTTGGCCCAGAATAGGTGCTTAATAGTGCTTCTTTGATGGATCTAGTTTAATTGTGGATGTCTTTCAAACAAAGTGAGCTTTGACAGAA